GGACACGCGTGCAGTTGTCGTACTGTATTAAAGCTTTAATCAGGATAAAACCATATATTAAAAGCTAACATAAGCAGTAGCATTTACAAATAACAGCATATCTAAAAGTATGAGACAACAACAAACAAAAAACAGGCCTACCATTAAAAGCCGTGCTTGCACAGGTTCTGCACGATCCTCTTCAATAATATCCTCTGCTTCTCAATCGCGCTCAAACTGATAAGCGATATTAATGACGCCGTTGTTTACAATACAACCAGAGCACATGCCGCTGAGGTGAGGGGCGGGACTTTAGAAGTGCACTAGAGACGGTTGAGCCAATCACAACACACTGGGCTAGCTAACCAATCAGAGCACATCGCCTATTTCTGAGGGAGGGGCTTCATAAAAGCAGGAAATGATCAGTGCGTTTCTCAGAGAAGGGACAAAGCGGTGTGGAATAAAGGTACATTATGTGAAAAACAATGCGTTTTTTTAAAAATGAAGCATTAACACAATATTAGACTGCACCCAATAAACACAATCAAGCCTAGAAAAAAAACAGTGGGAAAAACCCCTTTAATAACATAATTATCATTTAAAACCTAGCAAATGTAAGTGTCTTTTTGTGAAATGTTTTGTTATCTTTCTTTAAAGTACTATCGGGTTTTATATTATACATTAAGTGTTGCTTAAGTGTTCATATACTTTGTATACAGCTATCTACTGTATGTTATAATTATTATTATTCTACACTGAATCGGTTCAATCTAAAGTCCTCTAGACCTATAAGTACACACCTTTGGCCTGTGGGCCTGCAGTAGGAGGGAGCTTTGGGGTATCAGGGTTCTCTGACATGTCAGGAGAGGTGGACAAGGAGATGAAGGAAGGCAGCTTCTCAGGACACGAGCTGGACGGGCCCTCATCTGCCTGTATGGACTCTGTCTGAAGAGTCTGAACATCCTCCGAACTGAAAAGGCAAAACACCAAATATTATACGATTTTTATAAGATTAACAAGATTTTATTTATTTAATTTTATTTTCAAATTAATTTATAAATGATCGGCATGCTTATGGCAGATTTACATGGTTATTCAGGTCACTTATATGTATAATAATATAATTATTAAAATAAATCATAACTATAATGATAATTATTTTCAACAGTACAGAAAGATGAAAGAGAACACCAACCGTATATCAATGACAATTAAGAATCATAATGTTATATTAGTTCCTGATCCTGACCTCTTTAAAATGTCTCTAGTACAGGCTTTATTGGCTGGTTCAAAGCTTGCGTTAGAGCCGGAGCGTTTCAAGCTCTGTCTGTGGTGCAACTTGCATTTGGATCCACGTGGACACACACCAGTACTGGAGAAGTCTGGACACACCAGCGTGTGTTTCTTCTTACACTGTGAAGAGAGCAGAACATTCTTAATGCTTTATTTCTATTTATATCCAGATTGACAATGGATGTTTTATGGGCTGGTTATGAACATGTGGCACACTGTCAAGTTAAAATCAAGTAGAGATTTCATGTGTGTCACACTCTGTAGGAGTCCACTGAAGTTAGCAAAAATGAGTGTTTGTGTGTGATCACACATCAGTAGGTGCATGTATCTGATATGTGAGAGAAGGTGAGCATGTGTTTGTGTGTGTAAGTGAGAGTAGGTGAGAGTGTCTGTGCCCGTGTAATTTGGGCGTAAATTGGTCGTTTCATTCTTCGGGAGACCCGATCCCTCCCACCTGTCAGAGGAGCTAATTATACCCCACTATGGGGTGAGGAGCGCGAGACGGGTGTATAAGTGTGAGAGAGAGACTGGGCGAGTGTGGGGCATGTTGCTCCAGAAATAAACAGAGAGAGAGAGAGAGAGAGAGAGAGAGAGAGAGAGAGAGAGAGAGGGAGGGAGGAGAGAGAGAGAGAGCGTGTGTGTGTGTGTGTGTGTGTGTGTGTGTGGGAGAGAGAGAGAGAGGGTGTGTGTGTGTGTGTGTGTGTGGGTGTGAGAGAGAGAGAGTGTGTGTGTGTGTCTGTATCTGTGTGTGAGAAGGAAGGGTGGCTGAAGGATCGTGTGTCCGGGAACACTGTGGACCCCCTGTCACCCCTTGGGGCAGACTGTCCATAGACACTTTTTTCAAACAAGGATCAGGTCAGAGCCACAAGTGGCCTAAAATGACCAAATTTACAGCTATTAGGTATTATCTTGTGGCGCTTAGAAATGAGATACAGAAACCAGACAGATTTTGTTAAATTAAACCCTCAGGGACCGTTCACACATGAAACATCTTTTTGTAATCCAGCTGGCCGACTTTTTTAATTGTTGCAAATATGATTGCTGTTTTTTCAGTGTCTAGCACCACAGGCACCACATTTTTAAATAACCAAAATACTTATCAAGACCCCTAATAAAGCCGTATGTTAAATGCATCCTGGGTTCCCTTTAGGAGGTCAAAAGTACAAGATAGATATGATGTAAACAAGATGAAACGAAACAAAACACAAAAACAAACAAAACTCACAAAAGAAAAACAAACAAACAAAAACAAGACAATGCAGAACACCAAAAAAAAACTAACAAAAAAAACCAACAATAAAAAAAAAAAAAAAACATTTAATTTGATGCCATAGACACTGTAACTAACCACATAAAGACATGTATAGTGTGGCTATGGAGTCTGTAAGTCCAATATGAAACATGTTGCTATATTTACTGTTATACAAAAAAACACTAAAAGTATGTATTTTATCTATACACACACAGTCTAGTGTAAATGGATTATCGTACTCAACGAATCTGGGTCTCTAATGCCCCCTAAATCATCCTATAGACAACATCATCACTCACTACACTCATGGCTAATTGGCCCAATTTGCTAAATCCCTTGCCACTTGAATTCAGTCGATTCCAATTCCACCCCATTTCAGAAGAGCATTTGGGACCTTTCTTTTTTTAAACACCCATTTGTTTCTTGTTTGACGGATAACATCCATGTTGAGTTTTAATCACTCAAAGGTCCGGCGAAGGCAGATAGAACCAATGTGTAAATTGTGAGAAATTACGAGCGTTGTGAAGTGCGATAATCAGATCACACTGCATCTGTATTTTTAACTATTCTGATTACACTTTCACAACAATATAAACTATTATTAATTGTGTGTCTGACCTTTAATATTATATAATTAAGTTCATGGGGAAAATGTCAAGTTTTATTCCTTTTTTTCCTAAAAAGTCCACATTTCTTCTTTTTATATGAGTTTGAGATGAGATATGAGTTTATGCAATTATAGGAGACTGATTGAAACAGTGGTAACTGACTGGTAAACTGGTAACTGACTAACCATTCAGCCAGTCACAGCACGATATAAATACCAGGTATTCCTAATCATCAGAAAACCGATAAAGTCAGAAAATGGTTCAGTTGCTTTTAAAAATCTTCTACAATGATCTGAATTAAAAGAAACACCATTGACATTTCTGTCTTTACTAACTCAATGTATTTGGCATCTGCTTAAAAAAAAGAAACTGCTATGTTGGGCCCCTATGTCATGGCCAATATGGTGTATTGGATGGGCCCTGGCTATCACACTGGCATCTCTGGGGCATTTATAATTCAACAACACTGACTGCATCCACCAAGTCTACTCTCAGCCGCCAACAGACTATATGATGCACATTGACCACTAAGATGGCCAGAGCTGGTTGAATTCACCATTTCAGACTTGTTGGTTATCTGCTATGCTACACCCTGAAATTAGGGTGCAAACGTTTTTAATCAGTCTTTCATGAAGAAAAAGTTTTTGGCTATTAGTTATCAAGCTGCTACAGTAGCCTCTTTACAGTAACTATTTCCCCCAGTTTGCAAGGTTTTTCATCAAATCTTTTTCAAGAGCTTTGTCTAATGTAAATAAAATTTGGATTTCCATATTGCTGTCTGTATATTCTTTTGTTGAATCTTATTATTTGAAAGTGCTGACATTTTGTTACACAGCAGTATTTACCTGCCTCTTTCATCCCCCTTCGAAGTGGGAGGAGTTCTAGGCCAGTAAAATCCAAAGTCTGGTTTATGAGATCAACTTAAATCAGACCAGTATGGTTAGTTCAGCCAAAAAATTTATATTGTCATTTACTCAACCTCATGCTATTCCAAACCTTTCTTTCTTCAGCCAGCAGAACACAATATATATATATAAATATATATATATATATATATATGTGTGTGTGTGTGTGTGTGTGTGTGTGTGTGTGTGTGTGTGTGTGTTTATGTTCACACTCACTCTCTTTATATGGGCAAAAGCACTTCAAAAAACGATGACAGCAATTTATGTTTTGGGGGAAAACTATTCATTAACTTAAAAAAATAAAATAAAATTTTTTTCATGATACTTTTCATTACTGACTATAACGATGAAGAATAAGGTCTACACACTTCTACTAACATTTAGTATATATATTTTTTTGTTTGTTTTTTTTTCCACTAAAAGTTTTTCATGATACTTTTCCATTACTGATAATAATGATCAAGAATAAAGTCTATACACTTTTACCAACATTTAATATTTATGATGAGCAAGCAAACAGTCCTAATCCCATTCCTTACATTCCCACCAACATTCGATTTCTACAAATTAGTGGAAGCTCCAGTATGAAAAGTATGGATGATATAAATCTTAGATAACTTATAAGTTGATTGGCTATTTGGAATCATATCTAATTAGAAGAAAATCCCACTGATGGGAGGTGGACGCAGTACTGAGAAGGCTCATTAACTTTGATGTTCACGGCTGTGATCTGGGCAAAGAAAACACAAAAGCCAGAGTCCTCCCCAACCACACTCTCTCATTCTAATTTACATAAAAGCAGCAAAATAGAGGGAAAAGAGATGTGTGAGAGGGAAAAAAAAGAGAAGTGGATGGAACATCTTTATATCAGTGCAAGTTAACAATTTTCCACTTGATTTAAGAAAGGCTGGGAAGTCTCTGGGGCCTATTAGAAGAGCTTTCTACTGGCCACAAAGCAGAAAGAGTCAGCACATTTTACATTACTGAGACCGAAAGCAAGAAAGAGAGTGAGACAGAAAGAATATATGGTGGTGTGAGCTATGATAAAGAGCTAGGAAATGAGAATAGTGGCAGAGTGATAGAGGAATGAGACGAAGAGAAGGAGAATCAAAAAAGAGTGATCAGGATGAGGTGTGCATGGATGTGCCCAGCAAACAAAAGAAGAAACAGGACAGAAAAATATGTGAAATGGCAGACAGAAAGAGTGAGCTAGAGAAGGGGAAAAATAACAGAGGAGGGAGAAATGAAGAGGATGAGAGTGCGCTTTAACCCTTGCTCTGCTGGCGTATCCATTCCTGGCCTCTCGTCTGTACTGCTGTCATCAGCACTTTTTCACGTCCATAATTATGGTGTGCTATCCATCAAATCTAAGACAGTGCTTTTGGGACGGCGAAAAATTACAGACCTAAGCACTTCAGATAATAGAATAAATATTAATATCGCTCTTCTTATATATTCTCATTCTCACCCCAAATATTTAAATGAGCCCTGACAGCGAGAGAATGCATTTGTTACGATGAAGAGAAAGCAAAGAAGAACAAATGGAGGGGAAAAAAACAGAGCGAGAGACAGACAGAGACAAAGAGAGAAGATGGGAGAAGCAGAAAACACTGCGGAGAAACAATTCATTAGAATGAGACAAATCCAAAGAGGAAGAAACTGATTGGGGCTGCGATGAAAGTTTCTGCGGGAAAAACAATGAAGGGAGGCATACTGTCAGTTTAAAATAATAAATCCCTTTTGCTTTGGCATTTATGAATTATGTTAGCATCTCAAAAGCTTCCTGGTTTAAAATCTATAGCAAAATGGCACTACAGCAAAAAAAAGGCACTCAGTCATTTTTTATTGGTGCACATGGCAGTTGTCTTGGAAATTGTTTGATAATAGAGGGCATACAGAGATAATTATTCAGTTGGTCGTGTGATCTCAATATGGACACCCTCACGAGGCGACCCCCACCATGAGACATTAAAGTGCTTTTATTAGGCTACTGATATGACAAGTCTTCTGCTGCCAATGCATGTGAATTTTTTTTTTTGGTGTTTGTGTATTTAAAGGGTTAGTTCACCCAAAAATTATACAGAGATAATTATTCAGTTGGTCGTGTGATCTCAATATGGACACCCTCATGAGGCGACCCCCACCATGAGACATTAAAGTGCTTTTATTAGGCTACTGATATGACAAGTCTTCTGCTGCCAATGCATGTGAATTTTTTTTTTGGTGTTTGTGTATTTAAAGGGTTAGTTCACCCAAAAATTTAAATTAGCCCATAAATTACTCACCCTCAAGTTATCCTAGGTGTATATGACTTTCTTCTTTCAGACAAATCCATTCAGAGTTATATAAAAAATT